TATATATATATATAGGATATAATTGAATCGTGAGGAATTTTGTTGTGAAAAAATAAACATAATGCGCATAATTTACTATTTATTAATGATCATTTTAATAAGGGCCATTTTTTATTGCAGGAGGAATACAACGGTTCAAAGTTGTATCCGATGTTCCCGCGTTACACGATACTAAAGGATATGATAAAGGATATAATGCACAACCCAGACTATATGGAAGTCTGTCACGAAGTGGACCAAGCATAGCGGCCAGACCCCCTCCACCGTTCGCCACGTATGACTCTGTAAATTCTTCGGAGTTGCCGTGTGGTCGTCGGTGAAGGGGGTGAACCACAGAACGCTTCAGCTTCGACTGATGATTTTATTTTTGGACAGAGCAATTTCTGTGATCTTGTGTTTTATCCTTTATATTCGCGAAAATTTCCATTTCCTTACATTCACTCATACCTTGACAAGTCATTCGTCAGTAATCGTCATCTTTGTTCATTCGAATCTTGGGGCAAATCTGAAACAAATTGCATCACGCTTTTATGAATTGTACACAATTTCTCGCAGGTAAGTTAGACCCGCTCCTCTTCGTGCGTGTTTTGTGAAGTTTCGGCAAGAAATGGGAAAGATGATAAGGGGTTGAATATCGCACTGAAGTACGTCATCGAATGTCATGGAGCAACAATGAGCACCTCGATGTGCTATAAGAGCATCGCATGAAGATGAAATAGTCGTGGAGTTAAGGTAGGTCATAAGGTCGTTCTCATATATCTCATATATCCATAAGAATGCTGCTACTTACTTTAATCATCAAGAAAGAAATAAATCAATGGAAAATAAACTTTATTCATTGCTTAATAAAGATAAAAATATTATTTTTCGAGAATAAAAAAAGTTAGTTTTATATAATTAGATGATTTTAATACATTATTACATTTGAGATAAATATTAAAAATTAAAAAGATGATGTCGCACTGCATTTTCAAGATTATCAAAAAATTCTCGGATGAAATATAATAACGATAAAATAGTAGAACTTTATATTAAATTCAATATTTTAAAAATTCCCATTTGTCACTTTGTGGCAGAAGAGAGATTCCGAGTCCTTTCAAATAAATAAGTCTAAGTAGCAGAATTCATGAGATTCCATGGTAGAAGCCAAGAGATCGTTTTATAATTTTTGATTTTGGGTTGAAATAGTCGCTCGCACGTCACAAAGAAAAGAGGCTAGATGCGCTATTATTAATAGTGAATGTCGTATGCATGTGGTATATCGTAATCAATTAGGCCAATTTGCAAGAACTATGAAGTGTGAAGTAAATTCATATAAGACTGTGGGCGTGTTTGTACATAGGTGTAGCCTGTATGTGTGAAATTGTGAGAGCGGTATCAATATGGAGCACATTATTACCTGCTTCCTGCTGTGTAGGACTCTCGTTATAAAGGACATCGTCGGTCTCGCGCGACCGAATATTCGCTTTACCTACGAAGAGGACAAAGATTAAACTACTCTCGAGCAATGCTCTACGAAAAGAAAATGTATTTATAATGAAAAATATTAATTAATAATTTAACATTTAAAACTAAGATTTACAATATGGTTAACTTTGAATATGAAGATTTTATTAAAATATTTGGATATACTGTGCGTACAATTATATATTTAATGTGTAAAATATGAAATATTTGAAATCGCTTTTTATCAGCGAACAGAGACAGGAATTAGTGATTCGAAATATTTGAAGAATACTGGAAATAATACACTAATATGAATGAGAAATAATGATTTAACATTTCAAATAAGAAAAATTTATAAAATCTATTAATGTAAAAGTTTTTGTGTCACAAATTATTTGAGTCACATATTTGATATACCCGTATAATATTGAAATAATATGTCAAATATGAATCCATGTATATTTAAGCAGCATTTTAAGATGAGAATGTCTTTGAAATTGAAGTATATATAATAAGTTAAAAATATATTAATTAAACAGATTCTAGAGGTTTAAAGTGGAACTAGTTTATATAGATCAAGAGACTGCACTGTAATGATTTTGTTACCCATAGCGACAAGTATGGGAAATGGATAACCTTTTATTTTGTAAAACGTAAAAACAATACATATACATATATTTAAGTCCGGTTGCGATCGCTTGAAGGATATGGGCTTTTCAAAATGATACAGATTTTAATTTTTTTACTGAAAGCGGCAAGGTTGAGTGTTGTTGCAATTGATAATTAATACCCTTATTCCAAAACAGGCAGAAATTCCCATATTTCTCAGAAGGATTCAAGAGATTACCATACTGGGTTAAAGTGATAAATTTTTTCTGAAAAAAATTAATAACGACAAGATTGAATTTTTGTCTACTACTTAATTTTGATATCAATTATCGAGAAATATAATTTCCATATCTTTTGGATGATCACGAAGACAGCCATATCTGAACAAGTAGAATTTTTTTATTCCACGTAAAATTGTACGTGTTTGGATAGATAGCTGCAACAACATTCAATCTTAACGCTTTCAGTAAAAATGCTCGAAATTTTTTGTAACATTTTTGAAAAATCCACATCCCCTTCAAGCGGCCGCAAACGGATTTAAGGGGGAACATCACTGTAATGGTCGAAAAAAAAGACTATCTATGTGAATTTTTTTTTGTGAAAATTAATAACTTGTATGAATTATTGTCTTTATATATTTAATACATACATTTACGAAGTTATTACAAAAAATTCATTAAATAATATTAATATTTCTAGCCTCAGTGCTCATTGATGTGTCTCACCTCGTCTGGAAAAACATGGGTGCACGAATGTTCGTACTGCGTCCGAACGAGAGCTCTAAATAAATTTTTTTTATTTTAAAATATATAAGTGTAGTTTCAGTTAAGTGTATTGATTTTTTGATAAAATAATTTTAGACAAAATGGTGCTTTTAAAAAAAGAGATTTCGATTTTGCGAAAAAAAATCATTATTTTTTTAATTGTTTTTCAAAAAAAAACTAATAATCCGATTGAAAAATTCGTACGCTTAACTGAAGACAATTTTGTTGTAAATATTTTGTCCAAAATTCAAGTCATTTGCATAAAAAAAAATTGACCGAGATATGTGAGCGCCCAGTCACGAAAATATTTTGAGAAAAACGTGTTTAAAGTTTTACAACCGATTAGTTTATTATGCATCTGACTACATGTTACTCCATCATATTATTTACTATAGTTCCGTTACGAATTTCAACATAATATTTTAGGGAAATATTTTTAAGACTCCAAACATTACAAAAATGCAAAAAATAAAAAATCGATTTTTTGAATCCGTCACAATAGTGTTCCCCCTGAAATATATACTTTTTTTTTGTTTTACATAAAATAAAAGGTTACTCACTTCCTATACTTGTCATTATGAATAACAAAAGCATTACAGTGACCTCTTGATCTAATATATGTATACGATCTGAGTTATTTTAGCACTGAATATTTAAGGATAAATCATAGATTTTTTATATACAAAATGTGATTTATTTGAAATCATTATATTTCCGATTACATGAAGCGATTTGAAGAATATTTTTTCAAGCCAATTTCAATGAAAAATCAATCTTTATACAATATAATTTACATTTTTATCAATCACTTTTTTATGTAATCAAAACTATGCATGTAGTGTTGAATATTAATCAACTATATTCTGTGGTATACAAATCATAAATATTAATGGTCTGTTTAAAATACACGCAATGCCTTCATTACAAATCGCGAGATTAGCCAAGATATATGGCATTTGTGGATCAACTAATGTTTCTTTCGTGTGGGAACAGAACGGCAAGGATGTCATGTATACATTTTTATTTTTAATGCAGTGCGAGATTTTCTAGGGATATATTCATACACAGGTTAATAGTACATTCGCATCGTACACTTAGCTAAATGCAGTTCTCAAATATTTATATGAAGCGCGATTCATAAGCACTACATAGATCGTATTGAACAGAAAAGAAATTAGTTAATAATTAAATACTGTTTATAAAACTTATTGTTAAACATTTAACCAATATACCATGAGATTTCGTATGCTTGACGATAATAAAAAAAGTTATGAGTAACATTCTCCGTATACATTGTATTAAATAATATAAAATGCTCGGAAAAGATAAGAGCATTAATTAAATATTAATTTGGCATAACGAACATATCATCAACGTCATACAATATCGTACACACTCCGGTGAAAAAATCCTCGAAAAATTATGCGAGAAGTGCCTAATCGGGATAAAAGAAAAATTATTATTATTAATTATTACGTTATTCAAAGAATTTTCTATTTCTATTAGTTCGCAAGAAATTTAAAAATATTTTAAAATTATACGTAAAGCTTTTTTTCGAAAAGCAATTACAATTTACCGGTCAAGAAATCGCAATGAAATTAAATCGAAGCAGACTCAAGCTAAAACACGATTTAATCGAGTAAAATTAATTAATAATTTTGAAATTATTAAAATTACTCAAATTAAATGCTGAATAATTTATGTTGAGAATAAAAATTTGTTGATAATCGGTATTATATTAAAGATCGAAACTTTTGCAAATCTTTCCCGATAAACTTTCGCTCAGAGTATTTGCATCTGTGTGCATATGAATATGCATATCGTGCTGTTCGATATCGATAAACACAGGGGATATCATCGGTTGTCCGACATATAAAATGTGCCATGTTCTTAAAGTGCTATACCTCAAGTATTTACGTAAAGATGATAGAACCCAATATAAGACGCACATGTTACACGGTCGCGCGTAATGCAAAATGCAACTTATACGCAATTGCACCGACGTAAATTAGCGCCAGCAATTTGAAATGCAATCATAATAAGAGGGTCCTCTAGGATTTTGTTGTTCTTGTATATCGTTAAAATCTATAAGCGTATAATGATATATATCATGTACTAAAATACTTATAAAAAAAAAAATGGCTGACAGCCCGAAATCAAAATACAAAATAATACGCGGCAGACATTGGGACGAAGAATTAAGGCGTCGCTTCTCGTGTGGCGAGCCCTTTCCAATGTTTGCCGATGGTTAGTGTCCCCTATCACCTCAATACTATATCTCCCTTTAAAAACTGATCTAGCACCATGTAATCAAAACGAGTATAATTCATCAAAATGTGTAATCAAACCTAACTAGCATCCTCAAACATCGTTTACAAAGCTGGATACAGACGAGAAGCATGCAAAATCAAAATAATGCTTTCTATTTGTTAATTTTTAATTAAATGTACAAATCAAAATTTTTACTAAGAGAAAATATT